AGTTGCTCTTCCCCTGCACCTGGCTGGTTATGGAAGCCTCATCATACGTGGCCATCCAGGGTGGAAAATTATTTCAAATAAGTCTTGCATGCCCTCGTGTCCTATGGGATTTGACAGAGGTGACTGATCTGAAACTGGCAGAGGCTCAATGCAGAAGTGTAACACTGAATTATTGCAATATGGATTAAGTGCTACATAAAATGACTGTCTGACTGTAATTGTTCAGCTAGGACTAAAATAACTAGAATGCTGTGTGCTAAGTTTCATCTCACATCCACATAGCACAGCAGCAAATCCAACATAACGATAATATTGTCCAATGGGCTACCCATCCCTGGGAACTTGCCGAACCTGATCATGGTAACATCGAGCTGTCTTCTGTGCTAGATAAAATTATTTCCTGATCCCAGGTAAGCTCCTGAGGGACTACTGGGAGTTGCTGGCTTCTGTGAAGCAGAACATTTAGAAATTGTGAATGGAAGTTTTATGCTTGTAGGCATTGCAGCTAGCTTTGCTCTTACTTTGTAAGTCAGACCCAGTGCTCAGCTTCCCCATGAGCCCTTCATGCCTCTCTAACAGCAGGGAATGAGAATAATGCTGGTCTAACTGGCTGCCTCCCAGTTTCTGTTCCATGGCAAAGTGGAATCCTGCTCACATGGGTTTGTAGGATCAGATCTCTGCCCCCTTGAAAGCAGGCTAGAGTGAGGAACACAATGGAGATGAAGGGGCTTCACCAGAGTAAATTAGCTGTCCATGCCTGCTTCTTAAACATGATAAGAAACTGGATAGCCTCTAGGATCTGACCACTTCTGGCACAAAAGCAGCTCAGAGCCTGAAGGAGGCAAAGTGAGAAATAAAGCCACCTTTTCTTCACTTCCTCTACCCCTTCACCTGCCCTGGGAACAGCAGTTTTAATTACAGGTTTAGATTTTTATCTGTTTACAAATTGCCTTATGGATAGTTACAAACTAGGTGCTCTATTATTTTACACCTGTGGTCTGGGATAGAGCTTATGGTAGAGATTGCACTGTCATTGGACAATCTTTCCCTTCTGCCAACTTATGGGTTTGCTCTGTGAACTGTTCTTTGTAGATAGAGCATTCATTTGAGAGAAAAGGCTGTAGGACTTGACTTTTCTTTGATGGTCCAGTTCCACTGTTGAGTGGCCAAATAATATATAACCAAAGCCTTTAGGTCAAGAATAGATATTCAGACTACTTTTCCCGTAGTTCAGGCCTGACATTCATCCTAACTACTCTGTTTCTTGAAAGACCTGCTTTCATGGTAAGCAATACAAAAGAGGATGGAGGTTATGACAATGGCATAGGTGTACAAGGGGAAATACAATCTTGTCTTACTTTCTTCTTGCCCTTTTATTTTAGGCTGCCAAATTTTTGGTCCTGTTTTTGTTGGTGTGTCATTCCTCCCCGTTCCTTCCCAAAACTGGTGGGATTGCAATAAAGCATTGAGGCAGAGACACAAGCAGAAATCTGCCTGTGTCTCTTCTTAAGCCGGTGCAGGAGCAAACCTCCTGAGGTGGGCTGTAATAACTTTCTGCAGAGAGCAAGGCAGACTTGGTAACTACCTGGTCCTTTCTTTGCTCCAGGAATAGTGCAACTACATGCTGTCCCTTCCCTCAGGCAGATGGCGATTTGGATAATAATCTTGCAGTGAGTCCCTCCTGCTTAGCTTGTTGACGCCGCAACTGGGAAGTATTTTCCATCAGCTTGTGCTGCGCTGATTTCTAAAGCTATGGAAAGAAGGGCTGTATCGAAGTGAGCTGTTCAAATTCCATCTAAGAACTTAAAAATAGCACTGCGAAGATAAACCTGGAATAGCTCGCTCTGTCTACCATGTACTTTGCTTAGCATTTCCTTTCTTTCACCCCGCAGCCCAGCCCATCTCTCCCATGTGGGGTTACCGTTGCCATAGCATATGTTAGTTACTGGACCAGTGCCATCGGTTTCCAGTGAAGTAGCACATAGTTTTTGCATGTAGCCCTTCTGATAAAATTCTGTGTGGTTTCTTTGCTGTGACTCAGTAAATGGAATCTTTCTTGTAGGAGAAAGATGAAAGAGTGGATGAGATAAATGACTAAAATATCTAAATCTTGTGACATTCTGCAGGTACCTGGATAAAAAATACTTCGGAGTCCGTGCTTTCGTTGTATGTGAGCCAAAATGGCAGGTACAGATCTTTATCACTGGGTAGATTTTATAAGGTCACCCGTCATCTGAACGCCAGCCATAAAAAATTAGCATCTTAAAAAACTACCATTAATTCTTTTCATACCTCTTCTAATCTTCATTTTACTCCTGGCCTTATACTGTGAGCTCATACAAGGTGGCCAAGTGGAACCTTAAAAATGCACCATTTCTCCGGCTTTTCATGGATGCCTCAACATTCACAAACTTTTCAAGAGTCATGGTCAAAAAGTTTTTAAAAAATCCCCTAAATTCCTCATGTCCTTTGTATTCTTCAGAATTAAGCTATGCCAGGTACTTCTGCAAGTGGACAGCATCCATTGCAATTTCAGTGAACTGAAAAACAGAGGAAACTCTGGGCTCTTGTCTTCTGCCCTGTTGCATTTGTTTTTAATCCTGTGAAGCAGCAATGACAGGTAGTGTTATTTTTTGGAAAGATAATAGTGACAACAATATAAAATCCTCCCCTTTTTGGCTCAGTAACTTGAATTGTCCAAGAAGAAGAGTTGTATTGCCCCTAAAACCCAGTGAAACACACTTCACTTTCTCAGGGGTACTTATTAAACTGTAGATTCAGCTCTCATGGCGCATGAAAAAGGTGAAATAATTATGCAAAAAGCGAGGGAAAAGGAATTACCAATGGTTTACCAGTGTGCATGCAGCACAGAGCACACATTTTTCTCATTCATGAGCAACCCTTTAGTCCCACTGAAACAAGGGAAAAATATAGGAACTTGCCTTGCAGGTCAGTGTGCAGGGGAACTGAAGGTGTAATAGATTGAAAAACACTATTTGTGGCATTTCTTGACACAGAAACCCCAGAGCAAGCACATATGAGGAGAGGACAAGTCATATGAGGAGAGGCTGAGGGAACTGGGCATGTTTAGTTTGGAGAAGAGGAGGCTGAAGGGAGATCTCATTGTCCTCCACAACTACCTGAAAGGAGGGTGTAGAGAGGTGGGTGTTGGCCTCTTCTCCCAAGGGAATAATGACAGGACCAGAGAAAATGGTCTCAAGTTGCAGCAGGGGAGGTTTAGATTAGATATTAGGGAGAATTACTTTACTGAGAGGGCGGTCAGGCTCTGGAACAGCCTGCCCAGGAGGTGGTGGAGTCACCATCCCTGGAGGTATTTAAGAAACATGTAGACATGACTCTTCAGGGCATGCTCTAGTGCTCAAGATTATTGGTTTGTGTGTGGGTGTGATGTGGTGGGGTGTTGTGGTTTTTGTTTTGTTGTTTTGGTTTTGGTTGGTTTTGTTGTTTTGTTTTGTTTTTTTGTTGGCTTTTTTTTTGAGGTTGGACTCGATGATCTCAGAGGTCCTTTCCAACCATGGTGAATCTGTGATTCTGAGATATCTAGTTTCGTATTCTTCAGCTGATGCCTTTGATGTTTTATGACAGTTTTTAATGTTGATGAGGCAAAACAACCTCAGAATGTGCAAAACCATAGCAACTGCTGCACGAGGATATATCTGGAGACAAACTGTCCTCATCCCTTCAAATTTTAGTACATTTCTTCTCTCTACGCAAACGATGGTTGTCCTGCTATGAGAAGGTTTTGTGTTGTTGTGTTGGGGTAGGATTGTGCTGGAGTTTCAGAAGAGACTCCAGCCCAGAGAAACGCAGGAGTGAGCCCACGTGCTGAAACCTGAAGTAACTGAAGCAGGAAATATACCAAACAAGTTCAAACTTTTCCATGGGCAGAAAATGTTAATTTGCAGTGTTTAAAAGAAAATTCACTGTAACAAATCCGTGATCAGAAATTGTCGAATTAATTTTTACTTTTATCATAAGACATAATTTTAGTTTACAGCCTGAGTACTACAGGATTTGGGAAAAAAAGCAGTGCCACAAGGATCCAGAGTGAGACACCCATCCTATTTGCTGCAAAAGAGAAGACTTTAGTCAAAACCATCCAGGACTGGCACAAGAGGACCAGCACTAAGGTGGGCGAGTGCTGGCAAGCCCAGGGAGCTGCATGGTTACTTTAATATGGACCCTCCATTAAATTTGTGGAACTGGTTAATTGTTAGCTCCAAGGTAAACAGGTATGCAGCTGAAGGGAATGGAGGCAATATTTGAGTGGCATTGCAATTTCTCCTCCGATTTTTCCCAGACAGCAGTGTGCCCTTACGCTATGGATAGGTGAATTGCAGCTGAATTAGTCAATACAATGCCACCGCTCTCTGTGTCCTGAAAGCCTTTATTACCAAACAAAGAAAATCCCTACAGAAAGCAAGACTGTGTTATCTATTTCTCCAGCTAAAATCTGCTCACGGCTTTTCCACCCGTTTTGCAGGATGCTGGACAGCAAAACTGACTCCCCGTCCAGCGTGGGCCGCAGGGGCTGGACATTCCTACCTGAATCATAGAATGGTTTTGGTTGGAAGGGGCCTTAAAGATCATCGAGTCCCAACCCCCCCTGCCATGGGCAGGGACACCTCCCACTACAGCAGGTTGCTCAAAGCCCCATCCAGCCTGGCCTTGAACACTGCCAGGGATGGGGCATCCACAGCTTCTCTGAGCAACCTGTTCCAGTGTCTCACCACCCTCACAGCGGTGAGAATTTCTTCCTGATACCTAATCTAAATCTTCCCTCCTCCAGACTGAAGCCATTACCCCCCCATCCTACGCTGAAACAGTCCCCAGCTTAACAAAGGAGCGCGGTTTGCTGTGCCCCAGAACTGAGAGAAATCTGCCCAAAGACCTCCCCAAACCCCCCGCAGAAAAAGCTGCTTTTAAAATCCCCGTGGCCCTCCCCGACCCCCCGGCTCCTCATCCCCCTCCTCTCTGCCGCCTCCCCGCCGCGGCTGCGGGAGCGGAGGGGGAGCGGGGCTGCCGCCCGCCGGGGAAGGCCGCGGCTGAGGAGACACCTGGGTTTCCCTGGCAACAGGTAGGAGCCCGCCGCGGCGGCCGGGGGAGCCGGGGTTTCCCCGCTTCTCGCCCTGACGCACCGTTTTGAGGGCCCCGGGAGGCGCCTCGCCGGGCGG